TATTTTTTTTCTTTAATTATATCGAATAAAATTAGATAATTTCATACATTTATTCGTTAGTTAATTTAGATATTATATATTTTTATATATAAAAAAAGGTGTGTTTTAATGATTATTCTTTTTGTTAAAAACAGATATTCGGATATACGCAACTATCCAGAAAAAATCTAGATATATGCAATTCCGGATATCCGAAATTTTCAGAAACAAATCAATTCAAAAAATTAGATGTCTAGCAAAAACAAATCGAAACACAAATACTCAAATCTACCTACATGGTTTTTTGATGGTTTTACCTGACAAGAGATTAATACAGTTGTTTTGATTAATCGAGCGTTGACCCAAAACAATTAAAAGTGAAAAGTGAAAGAGAGTTAGAGCCAAAAAAGAAATCCAAATAATATAGAGCCGTAACATGTTTCAAGGGTCCGTCTCTTTCGATCTATCTAGTGATCGCAGGTTGCACATCCCTGTTTTCAACCCCATTTTCCATGTAAAGAAATGTAATACGGTTATTTTAGTGCAATCAGCTTTGTCCAATTGGATATTTAAGGTTTGGCTTTGATCTATGTAGCATCCACGATCAACCGCCATGTCGACCAAGGATACTTGTTTCACTTCCCACGCAACTCTGCGTTCAGTAAATACAAAGTCAAAATCTACAACTTCCCCAAGAACTTTGTGTTCAGTTGAATCGAGATTAAAAGAAACTACGGAAATTACCGGTAAATTTTCTTTAGGTCTTCAGGAATCTCTTGGACATTTGCCACAGATCCGTTCTCACGAATGATCTTGCTTTTGAGAGCTTCACTCCAAAGTCCCATATCAGTTAAGTCATGAAGAAGATGCTTATTCACATGCACGATTTCACCACTGAAAAAAACGAGTAAGCAAGTGTGGGGAAAGCTAGAAAAGCAAACGATTCGATCACACACCTCAAGCCTCTGTGGCTGTAGATGTTTGATGTATATGGCTCGAAACTTTCGCTGTTCCCGAGAATCTGACTGGTTGAACCAGTTGGCATCAATGCTACCAAAAGAGAGTTCCTCACTCCATTCTTTGATATCATGTCCCTAAGCAAATCCCAGTCCCAACGCTTTGATGGAGTTACATTCCACATGTCTGGTTGAAGAATCCCCTAAAAGAATCATCGCAAAAAGGTTAGCGACACAATCCACTACACGACGATATTGAAATAACTGCGGGGTGAGAACATGCATGCCTTGCTCACGGGACTTCCTTTGTATGTCTCGTACGCACCATATATTATAGTAAGCTCTGAAGATGCTTTGAGTGCATGGTAGTATATGGTTTCAAATATATCCTTATTCAGTTGCCGGGCCTGAGTAACAGATCAAACTGCTTAGAACAGAGTAAGCAAAATTACTTCCTAAGGTTTATGGTCATTACGCAAAAGAAGTCTACCTCTGGAGAGTCAAATGGCATTCCAAGGAGGATAAATGCATCTGCAAGACCTTGTACACCTATACCAATAGGTCTATGACGCATGTTTGAAGTTCTTGCAGTGTCCACAGGATAGTGATTTACATCAATGATCTTATCTAGATCACTAGCAACAATTGCGGTTACCTTGG